GCGGTTTAGGGTTTAGGGGGTTTAGGGGTTTAGGGGGTTTAGGGGTTTAGGGGTTTAGGGTTTAGGGGTTTAGGGCTCAGGGTTTAGGGTTTAGGATAAGGGGGGTTGTAAGTGGGCCCAAGCCCTACACTGTTAGCCCTGCTTCCTACACCCTGAAACTGAAGCCGAACTAGTTGAACCTACATGAACTCAAACCTAAACTGTCCCTACAAACCTACATACCTGCATGCCAAAACTCCTACACTACATGTATCTACATACCTACATACCCACGTACCTACATACATGCTTACATTAGACTAGTCACCTTACATTGTCATTAACACATACATACATGCACACATACACACCTGCTCATCCACAGAGACCTACCTACATACATATGTACACACGTACAGACATACATACATACTTACTTACATTAGACTACCTACATACATACGTACATACATACACATAATACATACCTGTACAATACCTGTCGACCTGCATGCTACACACCTACCCTCCCATAGACATACATACAGATATAGCCAGGAAGACCGACAAACGGACAGAAAAACAGACAGACGGGCAGAACCACGGACAGACAGACAGACAGAAAGAGAAAAAGGGCCGGAAAGACAGACAAGCTGGCAGATGCAATACCCCGAAACCCTGCACCTTTTTTCCCCGAAGATGCTCAACCTCTAAGCCCAGGCAACTGAGCCCACAGCTGTCTGTATCCAGCGACATGAGGTAGTCTAGCCGTGCCTGGGCTTCATATAACATAGGGCCATAGAGGCCTTTATACTCAAAGTCTGATGTGCATGTTGTAGTCCCAGTACATGGAGGAACTGTGAAGAACGGTATTGCTAAGTCGTCAGGCCCTATTCCGCGTGGGGTTCGGTTTTAATCATAGGTTTTTAAGGACTGTGCTGTAGGTTTTATTAGGTCCGCATAGGGCGTTTCATAGGCATCAAGAGGTCCGCATTAAGACGTTCGACCGATGTTGAGGGTGCTGTATGGTCATCTACAAGGGTCTGATAGAAGTGCCTGAATATCTAGACGATGGTTTTGGCTACATATACATATACATACATATATATATATATATATATATATATATATACGCATACACATACAAACAAGTAAACATGTGTGTATATATATATATATATATATATGTCTGTGTGCGTTATATGTGTGCTTGTGTATCTTGTTTACCTATGCGTGTACATATACCGACTATGACGGCATGCTCCCACCAGCTACTTCGACCTCGATACTAAGCTAAGGCTGAGGTGTAGGATCCAGGGTCCTCGGTTAAGGGCAAGTTTAAGGCTCGGAGCTCAGGGTTTAGGGTTTGAGCAGAGTGTTGTGGACCCTATTATAATACCCAGAGAACCCAATACCCCTGAATTAAGGAATACACCTTAGATTATAGGGACCTTACTAGTATGATTTAAGGTATATTCCTTAATTAAGGGGTATTGGGATCTCTGGGTAGCCTAAAGAGCAGGAACCTCATTATATCCCCAAAGTAAGGTACCCCTAATTTTCGGAAACTCCCAGCAAGCCCCATGTCGACTCTTCGGCCATTATACCATAGCCAAGCGCAGACTGACAACTCCAAACGAGAGCACCGATTATCAAGCAGGTGTCAACGGAGTTCATAAGCTGCGCAGATACGCTACTTCTAGCCAATATTTCAGGTGTTGTCCAAGTCCAGATAAACAAACCCTAGCTGTGAGTTGCGGGATAACGTCAGGATGTGGTTCGAACATCTGACGGACTGATCGAACGGTCCGCCACTTGAGAATCCCAGTTGCTGCACTCCTGCAAGTCCTCCTTTACTCGATGATCTCCCCAACTCGCTCACGTTGCTGATGGTTTGCCATCAGTCAAAAGAATCAAGCTGGCATATAATTACCTGGTAGCTTGCAGTGAGCCGAAGCTTAAAGCCTCAAAGCAAACATCCACCTCATGTCTTGCAAAGTTCACTGCCTTCCGAGAGCGCTGGGAAACCGACCATCAGGAACAAAACAGTAACATCACGCCCATAGAAAGTTGAAATCGGAAAGACTTCGAAGCCACTGACGTCGCAAACAGAAGCCACCATGGACCAATTCCAACGGTAGCGCGGATCTGGCCAGCAACATGCCCACTGTGCCGACAGTGGTTCTGTAGGTCGCACTCCATACTGTGATTGGTTCAGGACACCTCTGAAACGCCTTGGAGAAGCACCCACCTCAAGTCCAACCCCGTACACCCCAAAGCCCCAAAGCTCCAAAACCTAAACCGCAAACCCCAAAGAAACACTACCTCCCCAAACCCCAAAACCCAAAGGGAATCCTTTCAGGATCCCTTAATAAGGGAGTGATTCGGGGTGATAGAGAGGCCTGAATAAGTACCTATGCATTTTGGGGGTGTTCCGTACGAAGTATAATATCCGCGAAACCCTATTGCATTATTCTGACCCCTAAAGTACTTTGAAATGGGACTTGAACATAGTGCCAACGACAAAAACGAAAGCTCGGCTTCTGGCCACCGCTGGGTGTTCAAAGAGGGGCCCCGATCGGAATCTGCACTGCGCCTTAGCTTTCTTATGAAGGTTTGGGTTTTAGGGTAGAGGGGTTTGGGGTTTCGGATTGAGGGAGGGGTTCAGGGTTTAGGATCTACGCTGCGGGGTTAGAGGGTATAGGGTTTAGGGTGCAGGATTTAAACTTAGAACGTAGGATTTAAGGATACATGACATCGAAGCCTGCACGAAGACCCTAAATCTTGGGCCCCTGATGCTGCAAGCCCTCAGCTCTACAGCTGCAGGTCGAAGCCAATCTGAAACTCTGCAACATGGGGTTTAGGGTTTAGGATTTCGGTTGTATAGGCGTGGGGTGCGCGATGTAGGCTTCGCGATCTACGGTTTGGGTCGTCAGGGCCCCTGAACCGCCTAAACCCTTCACTTGGAACTGCCCGAACTAGCAAAACTGAATTGGGTTTAAACGGAAACAAGCACTAGCAAAGTCAAGCTCATTCGTCAAGGGTTACGATATATGTTACTCCAGGCTACTACAATAATATAAGCTTATAGGGCTTATAGGGGCTGGTATCATAGCCCACCCAGACCCGCGGGAGGATCCGAAAAGTAGATCCCTTAATGGGGGGTTCCTATAAAGTACCCTTAGTAGTATAGGGTCCCAAATTAGGGGATCTACTTTCTAGATCCTCCCAGGGGTCTGGGCAGACAACAGCTAACCTTTGCGTGACGGTAGAAACCTGCGTGAGGAAACCGACCCAGGTTCGGTGAGCCTCGATTCTTCAGGGTTTAGGGCTTAGGGTTTAGGGGTTTAGGGTTTAGGGGGTTTAGGGGGTTTAGGAAGTTCATCCCGGATCTTCGCACCCCAACCCTAATACTCCAGTCCTCAAGCCTAGATCTCAAAACACGCAAGGAAGGGGGGGGTGGGGAAACACGAAGTCTTAATACACCCCCCGAAGCCTCATCTGAAGATCGGGGAGCTTAGGGTTTAGTTGGGTGGTTGTCAAAAAACTATGTTTCCTTTTGGGGGTCCTTATTATAATGCGGCACCTATTATTTACGGTACCCACAAAGGGACCTTAACTGGGCTTTTAAGTAACCAGGGAGAAAAAAGTATAACCCTTGTATTTCATAATGGTTCCCTTTAAGAAAAAAGTATTAAAGTATGGTACTCCAAAGCCCAGTTAATGTTGACAACTACCCAATTGGGTTCCTGAAACTCAGAGGTCCCGGCCCGATATCCCACGGAGAAGGTGTGATGGGACACGGTGCGCTCCGTGTCCTGGGACATATATGGATTCCCAGCAACTACATTTCCATTTCGTGGTGTTCTTCAAGACAAACAAAACCATCCTCATCAGCGACCTTCATCATCAGCATCATCGTGATAGCGATTGCCATGACTACGACTTTTTACAAAAAAACATGCTACAAAAATGCGAATGATCATAATTAACTGTATAGTCTGGGTGTAGACTGTAGACGTTGGGGTCGGAGTAGTTTAGAGTCTAGGGTCCTCCACCAAAAGATCCTGCGGCAGCTGCGACGCAGGTGGAACGAAGTCCTGGGGCGCGATGGGCGCGATGCTACCGCAACCATGAAGGGTTTGGGCCTGCCGGTTTGCGCAAGTCTCGGATCAAGCATAGGTGCCGCTCTCCGGCGTTACCCTCATAGATCCCTTTAAAGGAACCCCTATAGATCCCTTTAAAGGAACCCTAGGGATCCCTAAACCCCCCATAGGCTCCCCCAAAGCCCCTTTTAGCCTCCTTATGAGGGCTGCAAGCCATGCACTTGAGCCCTGTTTATCCGGCACTATATGGGAGTTTCCGAAGTTCTGGGGCTACCTTATTTTGGGGTCCTTATCATAAGGATTCTACTACTTATGGTACTATATTAGGGTCCCCTGTTTTCGGAAACTCCCATGTCTTGACCCATAAGCCCGATGTTGGGGTTCAGGATTTAGGGCTTATGGGTTATGTTTCACTGTCCACCTTGTCTGTCTGTTTCAAGCCTTCTCTTGTCCTGCACAGGTGGGTTTCAGCGGTGCACTTGGGGATAGTCTTAGGCCAGCGGCAGGGAAATCATAATCATAAACACGACAGTGCCAGCCCCACTCACAGGAATAAGAAGTAGCAACATAAAAGGAAGTGCTGAGACGCATGCTAGCATCAAAGGGCTCAGAGATTGAGGGTTTAGGGTTTAGGGTGTACGGTATAGGGTATAGGGTCTAGGGTTAAGAGGAAGTCTACGACTGCCGAGAAAGTTGGCAGCCATCGTAGCAGCATTGTTCCGAAAGCAGGAAAACGGCTGGGTAACAACGGAATGGCGAATACTATATGGACGTTTCCAAAAATTGGGGGTAACTTATTGTGGGGTCCTTATAATAAGGATACAATGCCAATTTGATCCCAGAAGCACTTGTTTTGGCCCATCTGATAATCCTCAGGGTTTTTCTCTTTTTGAAAAGAATAAGAAAAAGTTTGATCATGATTTGAGGGAACTCATCAGGGCCAAACTTGCAACAACTCTTGAAGAAAAGCATGACAAGTGGCAAGGTTCTTCCAAATGTGATTTCGCTGCGACGACGCACCTTGTCCGGAAGCTTGAACCTTCTAGTCCGCTTCGGGTTCCTTTGATTAGACTACTGTCTGACGCCCATGCTACGCCCTTTCGGCTTAGCAAAATGGGGATACGCAACACAGCGCATTGCCCTTGGTGTCTTGCTGAGATTGGAGACATCAAGCACGTCATTTGGCAGTGTCCACGGTTTACTGGGCTTCGTGAGCATTGGCCTGCGCCTCTGTTACAAAGGCACAACTGGCATGAATGCACTCTTACTGCCATGGTTTGTACCCGAGACCTGCCCGAAAATTTACGCAACAAATGGCATTCGTTTCAAATTCTTGTCTCCCAGCTCCTCACACAGTGGATGACTTTGAACAGAGACAAAGATCAGTACGAGCCCTTTTTGCCGCACAGCGCTGACACCCCTGCCAGATGTGTTGGTCCAGCCTGCCTTCGCAACAATTTATCACAAAAGAGTTTTAAAAATGTTCCCTTGCTTTCCCTCCAGTGGCAAAGACCTAGCACGTCACACGCCATGCAAAGGTGGGGAGGAACTCGGGAAGACTTCAATTCCCTGTTCTCCTTCTGGAGCATGTGGTCTGTTGCTGATGTTCCTGGTCGTGTACCAGTCTCCTGTTGGTCGCAAGCTTTCGCGCTTTTTATCGCTTGTGGTGGCGATGTTTCCCCGTTTGCTGCCTGTGGCCAATACGTAGGCATGAATATTTACAAGTTTCGGGTTTTGTCTGTAGGATTTCTCAAGACTCAGATTGTTCCGGAGGATTCCCTTGATGATATTTTGAGTCCTTCCGACCACAAAACAAAATGGGTGCTGAACTTTCCTGCAGACACAGCTTTTCCGCAGACCCTTTGGTTTCCGAAAGGCTGGAATCTTCAATCTTCTGCACAGCAATTGATGGTTTTACAATCGCAAATTCAGCTTGAAGCAAATGTTGACGCTCAGGTCATTCGCATCCGTCCCTGTGATTTTATCGATGCCATAGCCAAAAATGGACTTAAGCTTGAAGTTAAAGACCTTGATGCTTCTTGGAGTGTTCCTCGACTTAAAGCAAAAACCACGATTCCCCCTTGGGTTTCTCAAGTTTTGCACTGCCGCGATCATCCTGACTCCCCTGGGATTACCTCTATTTCGTGCATCACTCAAAAACCATTGTCTGAATGGGTGAAACTGGATTTGGTGCAGATTCGTTCTTTCATCGCTCAGCCTGGCCTGAGGTTTCTTGCTGCCAAAAGACGCTATGGGGTGCTTAGGCAATCCATTCTTGACTTTTATAATGATCAGCTTCTGGGTAATTCTCGGAGATCCCATGTGGTCAAGCCTGACTGGACCATGGATTTTCGTTGTTTTTGCTGTCACAAATGCATCAACTTCTCTTCGGACCCGCGTAACTTGAAGTCCGGTTGCTCGTCTGTTAAAGATATTTCTGAAACTACCTTCCGTGAGTGGCTATCCTCTGTTGATGCCACCTGTAGCGCGTTAGACACGATCATCGCCAATTTCCAGTGATTGAAACAGCACCTGTCTGTTCTTTCTGTCTCACCTTTGTCGCCTATGACCTTGTGTCCGCCAACCTTATAATAAGGATCCTACTATTTATTTAGGGTACTACAGCTACATTAGGGTCCCCTGTTTTAGGAAACTCCTATATGCGCCCGAACGGTCAAAATTGGGTTTGGATTGAAACCGTACTCCAATTAAACTGAGAACCCCCGTGGAATGGTAGAATCACTTATTCAGACCTCTGAAATGCTCATATGATTCCTTCAGACTGTCGGACTGTGATTCACGTGTGTCTGGGAATCAGGGGTACCTTATTGGGGTCCTGATAATCAGGATCCTACTATTTGGAGTGCCAGATTAGTGTCCCCTATTTTCGGAAACTCCCATGTGTGTCAGGGAAAAGGAGTGTTGAAGCTGGTCAAAACCCTTGGGTGTGTTTGGAGAAAATTTCAGGATACTCGGAACGATGTACTCATCGGAACACGATAAGAAGCCCGCCAGATAGTCTCTGTGTGTGTATTATATATATATATACACATACACATACACATATATACATGCATGTATACATATATGCATACATGTATAAGCCGTAAAGGGTGACGATAACTGCAGCCGCCGGCAAATGTAGTCTACTATACACCCTAAACCCTACACACCCTGATCCATAAACCCTTTAAGCCCCAAACTGTTTGGAAGTATCACTACTACGGTTGATGATAGAAATCCTGCATTACCCATAGCAAGGAATATGCCATAATTCCCATAGTTTAGGATCCTTGAGGTAATGCAAGAACTTAAGGACCCTAAGCTATGGGAATTATGGTATGTTCCCTATTATGGGTAGTGCAGGATTTATATCATCAACCCTACACCCTAAACCCGAGAGTTCCCTTAAAGGAGCCCTTGAAGGTACCCTTATAGATCTCTCTAAAAGAACCCCAGCATATGTATATATGGGAGTTTCCGAAAATGAGGGGTGCAGTATTTTGGGGTCCTTATAATAAGGATCCTACTGTTTAGGGTACTATATTAGCATCCCCTATTTTCGGAAACTCCCATATACGGTATGTCCCAACCCCCTGCAGCGACAAACTGGGCTGACCTCTGGCAGTCGGTGGAACCAGATGCGGTTCGGCCTCTTCGATTGGGGTCTTCTGTCTAGAGCTTAGGGTTTAGGGTTTAGAGCTTAGGGCTTAAGGGGTTTAGGGTTTAGGGTGTAGGGAAGGTTTGCAGTGTACAGGCTTTAGGGTTCAGGGTTGAGGGCTGAGAGCTTAGGTGAAGGGATTAAGGTTGCGGCAGGGTTTGGGATTCAGGGACCAGGGCTCAGGGACAGAGGGTGTGCTGACTAGGTTTGAAATCACGAATCCTTTCATCACAACACCCCAACCCTAAGCCCTCACCCTACCCCGTAAAGCTGTCACTGTCAGAGCCCCAGCCTCTGATTCCTCAACCCCCACCCACATCCCTCCCCTCTAGACCCAAAGCCCGAAGCGCTCATTCCTAGATCCCAAACCCAAACATCCTGAAATCTGCTAAACCCCTACACCCTAAACCCCTAAACCCCTAGACCCTAAACCCCAAACCCCTAAACCCTAAACCCCTAGACCCCTGGACCCTAAGCCCTAAACCCCTAAACCCCTAACCCCTAAATTCCTAGACCCTAAACCCCTCCAAGCTCTGAAAACGACTTACGAAGCTAAAAGCTTACGCTGAAAGCTGAACCGTAAGCTCTACTTGGAGGTTCATGGGTAGTTACAAGGGCCTCTTAAAGGAATCTATAGGGATTCTACAACGGTATAGGGATTTAGGGTTTAGGGTAGTCATAAGTAGGGTTATAAGCCCCCTAATAGAGCTTATACTATAGTTACCCTATTGCTAACCCCATTTCTTACTACCCATGAACCTCCAAGTAGACCTCTGCGCGAACTCTACTTACCCAGTGAACGGGGTTGAGGCTTTGGGGGTCCGCAAGAGTCTACTCCCAAGCTACTTGGAGGCTCATGGGTAGCTATAAGTAGGGTTATAAGTCGGATAACGATATTTAAAACTCCTACTGTATAGAGATAATTGGACCTCCTATTAAATAGGAGACGCTGAACCCCAAATAGGGGACGCGGAACCCCAAACCCAAAATTGTTACTACCCACGAACTACCAAGCTATGCCTGGACTGCTACACCTTCGCTCGGGGAATCCGAAGTTTCTGGTCCTAAACCTTAAACTTCTACATTTTCGGGTGTAGGGTTTAGGGGTCTAGGGCGAAAGCCTAAAGTAGAATTTCGAACTCTTGATCGTCGGAAGACGGTTTTGGGCTCCTTTTCCTTTAAAACATAGCTATAAGTAGCTATAACAGAGAAGCTCCAGGAACAATATCGGTAACTATTTAGGTTTCTATACTAGGGTCCTAGGATTCAGAGGTGAAGGCTCAAGGAAACCCCGAGTCTAAAGTATCAAAACCCCAAGCCCTATCTAGGAGTTAGGATTAGGGGGGCCGTTTAGGGGTTAAGGGTTAGGGCTTAGGGTTTAGGATTGAAGGGTGTAGGGTTTCAAGGTTAGGGCTAAGGGTTTAGGGTTGAGGGTTTCAAGGTGCGGGCTAAGGGTTCAGGGTTGAGGGTTTCAAGGTTAGGGCTAAGGGCTTAGGGTTGGGGGGAAATGACCCCCTCCATATGCTCCGCTGTAAGACAGCCAGAAGTAGGGTTAAGAAGGGTCCCCTTTAAGGGGTCTCCCTCGTACTACCTTGGACTATCTCCGAAAGCTTCGGCATGAACGCAACATGTGCTGCAAAGTGGCTCTCGGATTTTACCGAAGACCATCAGGTCCCCTCTTGCCTCAAAAACAAGAATATCTTAAACAAATAACAATACTAATAATCTTAATAACAGTGCAATAATGACAATAATCGTAATCTTAACTGCTTTCCCATAGCCCTAATTGCTGGAACAAAGGTGCCAGCATGGCTTTTCAAGTCTGCTCTGCCTTTGGCAGCTCTGGCGACAATCTGCGACAGAATGCCGAGATAATGAAACATTGATAACATCCGACGAACATTCCATGATCTTTGCATACACTGAGCCAAACACTTCAAAATAGCTTCCAGAGCCTCAACCCAAACCTCAATCAAAAACCCTGAGCTCCGAATCCTGCAGCAACTCCTTGCCTTGTGCTTTGCACCAAAAGACTACTAGGCTGTTCAGTAACCCACTGGGAAGAAGTATGTACTTTTTTAGGCTTTTTTTTAATAGGAACCCAGAAACCTGAAAGTCAAAAAGTGTACGGCTGAACAGCCTGGACTACTTGCAAGACCATGGATCGAACTCGTAGAGCTTCAGACTCAACCTGTTGCTCTATTTCTCCTGCCCAAAAGATTGGGCGAATACTCGTACACGTACGGGATGATGAAAACAATCCACATGAAAAAAAGTGAGCCCACGACAGGCCAGTTGAAATCGTGTCCGAAAGTGTATTTGAAAAGATTGTACTGCAACCAAACCACGACATTGAAAGAGATGCCAGCAGTCGCGCCGAGGAGCAAAATCAGCCACAGCGGGCATCTATCCCCGAATCGTACACCCAGCTCTGCAGGAACTCCCAGAATGCCAGGTACACCATCGGCGGGGCCTGGAACCAGCCGATGATCCAGCCAAGAGCCGACCAAGGGAACAGATGAGCATTCATAGTCAGATAGAAGTAAAGACATAAGAAGCCCAGTAACCGAGACCCCCGGGAGGATCCGAAAAGTAGATCCCTTAACGGGGGGTTCCTATAAAGTACCCTTAGTAGTATAGGGTCCCAAATTAAGGGATCTACTTTCTAGATCCTCCCGGGGGTCTGGGAAGGGATGAACTGTGAGTGCCAATACATACCGCAAGGGTGGAGCAAAAGCTCCCAAAATCTTCCGCATGGAACCGCCCAGCTCTTTGCGAACCATAGGGTTTAGGGTTTAGGTTCAAACCTGTCAAAATAAACCTCTGAACCTGCCTGGGTGGGATACCATCTTCTCAACGTTTGGAATACCAACGCTCGGTCGCACAGCAGCTCTTCACCGGTTGCAGGGTGGCAGTGGTCCATCGCACAACAGCTGCACTGAGCACGACGAATCTCAAAACAATCCAGCTGCTTTCTCAGCTGCAGCAGAGCTTTCATCTGCATGGTGCCGAGGTAAAGAACCATGGGGGCAATCACAAGGAACGCTGGTGCACAAATGACCAGCATGGCCACCGTGAAAGTCCCCAATGTGCCCTTCCGTTCGCTTAGATATGTATTTTGTTCTGCTAGCACCGACTGCACATACCGTTCCACGAGAATGTGGAAGCTGGTGACCAGGAGCGCTTCAAAGATCGAAAAATACAGCAACAGTGGGCCCAAACTGGCTGGAGCAAAGTCGATGTCATTCCCTTTCCGGTCCTCTCGCAAAAATGCCGACAACTCGAAGGCTGTCCACAAGCGGGTGAAGTACCGTGGACTCCAAAGGACCACAATCTTCCGGGACTTGGAAAGGAAACCGCCCAGGGAGAGGATACCCTCTGAGTCATGCTGCGCAATGCAAAGTCGATCCAGAAAGACCACTTTCTTCTGGTAGAGGCCGCGAATCTCCTGCCAGAAGAGAAAGACAAACCAGTAACTTCCATGGATGGCCAGTGTGCCAGAGAGCCAACCGTCGGATATTCTGAGTATGATGAGAAGGCATGACAACATGAATGTCAGCAAACTTGCTATTGCGGCAGGCACGCTATTGAAATAAACTAGCAAAGTTGCAGTTTTCAGCCAACGCCTTGTCCCCCAGTCATGACTCAAAAATGCATCAATCTTGTCGACACGTCGACTGAGGTGGTACTCATCCACATCTCGTGTCGCCCACCGCTTTCCGCAGCCTGCTAAGACATATCCCAGTGGAACGGCTCTAAGAAGATCGGAATCGATGGATGAAGCCAGTGATGACACAGACGTCATCTTCAGAGTGTCGTACTCCTCTCTCTGCTCCATTGGCGGCAAAGGTCGCGGTTCTATGGGTTGTGGGACCATGGCTGGCGATCGTAAACAGAATCTATATATGCCAATCTATCGACGGACGAAAGACACGTACATATGCATGTATGTATCTATGTACGTATACAAGTATGTGTATGTATGTGTATATATACAAACATGTTTATACTCATATTGATATTTTTATTTACACATAAGCACAGGTACGCTGAAACAAAACCCTTATATTCAACATATGTGTATATATATATATATATATATATTGATATATTGTTTATATAGTTTCATCTAGTTGTATATTTGTAAACATATATATTTATATAAACTGTTTATTATATCAATCTATATATATATATATGTATGTTTATATACTCACATATTTGTATATAAACATATGTATATAATATATATATATATATATATATATATATTCAAAAATGTTCACACATATATATATATATATATATATATATTTGTTTGTTTGTCTATATAAGCATAAGAAATGTATACTTACTTAATTATATATATATATATATATATGTATATACATATGTATGCATATATATATATATACATATGTGTGTGTGTGTTTATGTAACTATGCAACCTTATATTTCTTTATTTATGTACTTATATATTTATACTTGTATACATATATACCCATCCCGAAGGCCACGACCGGCCGAAGGCTTTATCCCCAAGGGTCCAAAGGACGCAATAATTAGGTACTGGGCTTTAGGAATAGTAGTTATGTAGGTTACTATTTTGGAGAATATATGATAATAAGGTACTTGGACCCTAAGGGTATGGGTTTCTATAGATAGGTCCTTAAAAAGGTAGGTCTTTTCGGCTACAGGTACACCAAGCGTCGAGCGAGGTTCTGACGATGCTGGCGCGGGTCTCGTCAGTCAGCCTCGGGGATACATCGCAAGGAAGGCGGGTTCGGAAGTCTCGATGCCAGGATGGTTTAGGATGCATTATCTTAGGGTCTGAGTACCCTGGCCCAAAACAGGGTTAACCTTTTTGGGCTTCTGGTAGCTTTCTATGAACCCGAAAAGTTGAAGGCTACCTACCCAGCGACTAAAATATCAAGCAAAACTGTAGGGGTACTTTAATGAGGTTGGAATTCAAGCTTTCTCCGGAAGCTGCGGCGGTCCACAGTTGAAGGTTTACAGTTTAGGGTTTAGGGGTTTAGGGGTTTAGGGGTTTAGGGTTTAGGGTCTAGGGTTTAGGGTTTAGGGTTTAGGGTTTAGGGTTTAGGGTCTAGGGTTTAGGGTTTAGGGTTTAGGGTTTAGGTTCAGGGCTTAGTGTTTAGTTCTTGAGTTCAGGCTTGCAGAGCGCAGGCTCGGGTGAGGCATAAACAGCTACAGCCTTCTAGTCCGAAAGCGACTATAATGTAGGGCCATCGAATTAGGAATAGGTTTTGGGGGTATATTCTGCTAAAACTCTACTTATAATAGGGACCCCACACAATAGTAAACCCTAAACCCTAAACCCTAAACCATAAACCCTAAACCCAATAGTATAGGTAAGTATTAAGACGCTTAGAGCCCGGGAGACCTCCTAAACCCCTGAACCCGGAACCCTGCCAAGGATTTTAGGGTTTAGGGTTTACCTTAACCCGGAAGAACCTACATTTTTAAGGACTTATATAAGGAAATCATAATAAGGAACCCTAAAAAGGTAGGTCTTTCAGGGTTAAGGTAGGGTTTACCCAGAGAACCCAATACCCCTTAATTAAGGAATATACCTTAAAGTATAGAGGCCTTAATATTATGATTTAAGGTATATGCCTTAATTAAGGGGTATTGGGATCTCTGGGTAGGATCAGGGAGACAAATGTAACCTCGCAGCTCCCAGTAGTCAGTTTCCCCGTGCACGGTTTAGCTTGCCCTAACATTTAAACTCTAAAGCCTAGGCCTGAAGCCTTAAACCTTAGACCCCAAATCTCAAACCAAGGCCAACACCCTAATCCCTAAACCTCCTACCTCCCAAACCCTACAGTAGAAGCCAGAAAGTTGGAATATCATTATCCTAACCCCTTTAAGGTAAATTATAGGGGATCCTACCATTAATCCATATTCCAACTTTCCGGAGTTCCCTTTAAATACCCTAAGAACCCTAAACCGCAAGCCTGGGGGGTTGAGGAACTCCGGTTTTGAATTTCATTGCTGAGGCCTGTCGGTTCTGGACTTTCACCAACCAGGGTTTATTGAGGTTTAGGGTCTAGAGTTTAGGGTTGGTCAGGGTTTAGGGTCTAGAGTTTAGGGTTTTAGGGTCTAGAGTTTAGGGTTTTAGGGTCTAGAGTTTAGGGGTTAGGGTTTTAGGGCCTAGGGTGAACTTTCAGACTACTCCAGAAGTCGAAGAACCCTCAAAGGTTCGACAAAACCCTTCAGGCACGAAAGTTCAGGGTTGGGTATTGCGGACCTGCGTAAACCCTCCACACAAATACCTCCAGAAAAAACACTATAAACATGTGTAGCGGCTGGGCATTGTCCCTGAACCCTAAACCCCTGGACCCTAAACCCTAAACCCCTAGACCCTAGACCCTAAATATCCCTAAACCTAGACCCTAGACCCTAAATATCCCTAAACCCTGGCCCGTGAGGCTCATCTTTTTGGTCGCAGAAGCTCATGGATTTGGACTAGTCTGGCTGCAGATGCGGTGTACCGGCTGGGGCTGCCAAGGCTCTTCTGTTTAAAGAAAGGGGTCTGAGGGCTCAGGGTTTGCCGGCGTGAAGTTGAAGGGTGGTGCTGTTCTTTAGGGTTGATATCTGGGTTAAGGGTTTAAGCGTTTAGGGTTTAGGGACTAAGGATTAGGGTTTAATGTTTCATTGTCGTGGGGTAGGGCTCAAGATAGGTGTGGGAAAGATGTTGTCCCAACGCGGTCTTCCCAGTGTAGTTCATGACATAAAAATACACAGCGCAGGTGGTACACTGGGTGCTCCCATCAGTACAGCAAAGCAAACTTAGTGTAGGGGCCTTAATAACTAGAACAGGGCTTTGGGCTACTTCTTTAAAATAAGTATGATCAGGAACACAGGGGACAATCTGATTCAGGCTTCTACATGCCACTGCGCGCTCCCAAGCAGTACAGCGAAGCAGACGTAGGAGAGAAGCCATCTCGGCAAAGTCATTGCAAGTCGTCCGGCTCACAATCAGGTGTGCTGCCCCAGTTCACTGCGACCAAAACCAAACAGATTCGGTTTAGGGTTTAAACTGAATTCCTTAACCCCTAAACCCTTATAGAACCCTTAAAGGAATCCTTATGGACCCCTTAAAGGAACCCTTGTGGATTCCTGAATGGAACCCTTATGATTCCCTTAAAGGAACCCTTGTAGATCCCCTGCAGAAACCCCGATAGATCCTTATTACGTAACTTAACATAAATTCCTTACCAAGAACCACACGATCCGCCCTGAGTCTATGGCCAAAGCACACGGATGACTGACAGCCTCTGCATGGCTCCCGAAGCCCAAAACCCTCAAGCCTAAACCCTGAAACCCTAAACCCGAAAAAACATAAAGCCTAAGATTCGAAGCCTGAACCTGCTGGAACCGAACCTGCGAACCTCCCAACTGCCTAAAACCTAATTAATGCCAAACCCTTGCCCAAACGCTCAGAAGCTCACAACATGGCCTTAGAATATGTGTGTGTATATACATATATATATATATACCCACTTGCAGCCTGCCTACAAGACCCTGCAAAAGCGAAAACTCCCATGCACAGCCTGTGCCAGCCTGGGCTACAACACACAAAAATAGTATACTATAGTACAATGGTTTACACTAGATTTTTCAATATAATATATGCTATCATATGGTATAGGAGGCGAGAGCTTGGTTCCCCTTCTTACTTACTTTATGAGTCTATGATCCTCCAAATGGGGCAGCAGTCCTACGGCCGATCCAACACAGTGCTTCTTCGTTGGCCGCCGCGCGTCTCCACTCTGCACCGAGGACACAAGCGTAAGCCGCGAGGGAAGGGAACGTTCGGTGTTTACATGTCGTTTTGCATCGCTGTTCGGTTGATATAGAAAAGCTGTTGGTCCAAGGGCACGTCGAGTCTGGTCTTGTCCTTATTTTCAGAGTTCCGTCAGCATCGAGCGATGGGTTTGGCGAAACCTGCAAAGCACCACGCACAAGGGCCACGAACCCTAAACCCTAAACCCTAGAACGTGATCAGACTAAACTATGGCATCAACCCCAGCACAAACAGTGATAGGATGTGTGTTCGCCACAAGAGCATGACCTCAAACAGCAAATGACAACAAGCAGCGGCGTTGCCGTATGGAAGTAGCGATGGGAATCCTTGATCACCCGAAGAGCAGGATCACAATCCCTGTGTGAAGCATCATCACAGTATGCGGAAGCTATCCAGACATCCGACATTCCGGACCCTACACCCTGAACCTCAAACCGTGGTCAAGACTTCTTAGGCTCGATACTGGTGACATGAATTCCATGACACTTTGCATGTTTTTAAAGTTCAAGAAATTCAATGTCCTTTTGGTAGCTCTGGGCCCAAGATGCAGAGCAAGCTCGCGTGATATGCATTCCTTGCTCACAGAAGGGCTCCCATCAAAAATCATACTTCGGGTTGAGGGTGCAGGCTTCAGGGATTGGGGGCTTGGTCATTGGAGAAACAGTGAAGAAACCGTGATCATCCGTATCACCAACATCGCGATCAATGGCGACATTCAGTATCAACCAACCATGCGACGGTTGATGATATAAATCCTGCATGATAAGGAATATACCATAATTCCCATCGTTTAGGGTCCTTAGGGTCATGCAGGATTTATATCATCAACCGGATGACCACTACAACGGCGGTTCTCAGTGGTCATCGCCAGCATCCCCACCATCCTCAGCATCACAAGTCACCACCCCTGAACCCAAAAAAACCCTAAACCCTAAATCCTGATCCCAAAAACCCTAAACCCCAATCCCCTAAACCCAAACCCCAACACCCCCAAGCCCCAAAACCCCCAAACCCCAAAACCCCCCAAATAAACCTAAACCCTCAACCCACCATGACCTTCAGGGCTCCCAGTCATTGCTGGGTGACAGGACCCCTGGGTTTCAACCGAAGCCTTTCAGCAACCGACTGAAAAGCGCGCGTCTAAAATGTAGGGCTTTAGGCTGATAGGGGTTTTAGGGTTCAGGGTTTCGGGCTTCAAGGTTTAGGGGTGGAGGGTTCTCTTCTCTTGAAACCCCTCGGGTTGAAGGTTTATATAGGGCTTAAAATTGCGGGATGCTTCTCTCTGTCTGTGATATCTGATCGTAGTTGCGCGGGATCTCTTCGTCATGAGACACTGCCCCCACTTCAAAAGAAAAAGGGCGAAAGCCATGGTTGCAGAATGGGCAAAGGCCGAAGTTCTGCAAACCTTCTTGTGATAGCCCACACCCTGAAAACCTTAGCGATAAAGCGTATCATGCTCGTTTGTCCTTTCTGACACCTTCCGGCCCCAATTGAAGCAAATAACTACGTCCCCCAATGTGCTATTCTCATCCTCCAGGCCCTGGGAATACACGAAGCTCGAAGCTTAAGGTTTCTGTCCAGCGACAACACCCTAATACCCCGGGAATGTCGGGCAACGCGGTTTCAACTGGAGTTAGGGGCCTCACTAATTTTGTTACGGCTCTGGCCTCTGCTATAGTGTAATAATATCAAGGCTACTAAGGGGCTACGAATAGTAGCTATTCCAACTCCTACATTCACTTTAAGTGGATGGCAGCTGCGGGCTGAATCGAGCAGGTTACTGCTAATTGCGCCACCTGATTGCTGTTGTTGGTACGATCCTTGTTTGAGGCATAGGGTAGACTACTGTCACACTGATTTTATAGATCACGACTTCATGGCTGTGTCGATTCGCTCGTGTTGCTTGTCTTCGTGCAGTTGCAAAGA